GTCCTTGATCCAAAAATACCATTTTGGATCCCTGGAACATCATACATAATAAGTTATCACATTTTTAATCATCAAACATACATAACATGCTTTTCAACTATGTTTTATGTATAATCATGGCATAAGCAAACACTTGATTATCTTTAATCATTCCATAAAACATATCCTTGATTACTTTAGGTAATCTCATGCCTCACGCATGCAAAAGTTATAAAGCATAAAGCCGTTTTCTCATAACTATTAATAAGTACTTCATACTTATTAATCGTTTATATATTTCGTTCTAGTTTATTCTTCATAACTAGATTTGATTTAATGACATGTATAATTAAGTACTTGGATCCTTCAAGAATACCATCTTGAATTACCTTATTTAATGTCCAACTAAATCATTCATAATTATCCTTCATAAAAAATATTAATAATTCTTTTACTCATTAATCATGCCATTTTCACATAACAATCATTATAGCTAATCACATGTTTAAACACCTTTAAACATTTCTATACATATTCACATACTAGATTACTCTATTTATCTCATACATAGTCCATGTTTGCATTTTTATACATTTGACAATAATATATTCATGATTAATCCACAAATAAATCTCTTATTCTTTAATCATGTAATATTTCCATAAATCATATTCACCATGACTAATCATGCATTTTAATCCAAGAGTTACAAGACACGTAGTAGTCCATTCACCTCGAAATGACGCTAGCAAGCTTTTATCCTCTTCGTTTGAACTCCGGCGACTTTTGGAATTTTCCGGCGAAAACTCCGGCGGCTCCGGTGACTTTTCCGGTCACTCCTAGATTCCTTGAGAAGTCTAGAATACCTTGGTAAAATTCCTAACAAGGTTTCACAACCAAAAGTGGTATAAACATCAAAACCCTATGGGAAGGTGTTTTCCGGCGAGTCGCTCTTACTCCGGTCATAACTCCGATCATGGTTAAAACTATCCTTCCAACCCCTCATTCTACACATCTAGGAGTGTAGAACAAGCTTATGGTTCAATCATATGATTTATAAAAATCATATGAGATTAAATTAAGGATGGAAAAATATTAGTGAGACCATTACCTTATTTTTTCTAAGTTTCCTTCACTTTCTCCACTCTTTCTTCTTCCTTGAGCCTTCCTCTTGCTTGATCTCGGTTATGGATATGGAAATAGGAAGTTGCAGACCTCCTCTCTCTTCCTTGGATGCTTTGGGTCGAGATATTAGGGATAGAGGAGTTGAGGGGATTGTTTTGTCTCAAAGGTATGAATGAGATGGGGAAAAGGGTCGCTTGGATGATTTAATTTGTCCCTCTATCATGTCAACTTATTTCTAGCCTTTCAATATGGCTATCCTCACTTATTTGAGACCAAAAATCGTGGGGTGGCCCCCACTCACGTGGGAGGTCATCCCAACATGTCCCGAGATGTGCAATTGGTCCCAAAAGTTGTATTTCTCGGACTGTTTTAATTATATTTTATTTTATCGGGTCAAATAAAATATAAATCATCCTTCCAACTAATATTGGCCTCTAAAATTAATAAATATTATCCCACTTTAATTTAGCGGTCCCTGGAATTTATTTCGGGCTATTATCTGTTAAATCACTCATACCGATAATGGGGCTGCTTTTGATCAAACGGCCAACTCTATAGCTAAACATAAATATAAACCATCATATGAATATCATATAGACCAAGATGAATATAATATGTGGTCCCGGAAATATCGGATGGTCCCCGCCCATGTATGGACCCAACGTGCATTTTACTGTTCAAGTAACAGTAAAAATGAGAACACGTTGCATCGAGAATTCACTCGTCATTTCTCACGACTTAACATGTGGTTTTATATTTTGTGACAATTTAATAAAATGTTACACTTCTTTTTAAGTGGTCCAAAATGTATGAGCAGATAAAATCTTATCTCTTTATCCTCGTACAAAAATATCTTCAAGGTAGGGTCCTCCAAAAGTACCCTCCTTTAATGTACCAATTTAATCATATATTTATCAATCCATTATGTTGGATTCTTAAAATATTTATATTTCTTCTGTCATTAATTCATAGCCTTCCGAATTATTAATAGTCTGAGAATTAAGAGCTCACAATTATTGATTAGTGGCCCCGACCCACGTGGCCGTCTAGTTATCATTCTATATATCACTGGGGTCCACGACCCATTCCTACTATCAAAATAGTATTGTTTAGATCAACATAAATTTTTTATACGCTAAGAATACCACGGGTGGTCCCTGCTCCCGATGTGGGTCCCGCGTCTGATTAATAATCCTTTATTAATTTAAGACAAGAATTTCATCTTTCTCGTTTATCAAGGCTACTCTAGTCTTGATTTACCTTCGTTAACCATGTACTTGAAAAACAAATCTCTGGGGAAAATTTGGGTCCGGTGTTACACCATCCATGAGAACCCCCATGTCCCCAAACAACAAGCTCGACTCAGATCCTACAGGGAAACCGGTCGATGCTTCTCATTATCGGGCTATTATTGGATCGTTGTTGATCTTACCTCCAACAGGTCTGACATTGTGTTCGCAATGTGTTTGTGTGCTAGGTATCACGCCAATCCGAAAGAGTCCCACTTAACAATTGTAAAAAGAATTTTGAGGTAACTAAAAGGCACAATCAACTTGGGCCTTTGGTATCCCAAAAATTCAGGTTTTGACCTAATTGGGTACTTGGACGCTGATTTTGCTGGATGCCGAATGGACTGGAAGAGTACGTCGGGAAGCGCTCAATTTTTCGGAAAAGCTAGTCTGTTGGTCCTCTAAGAAACAAAATTGCGTGTCAATTTCTAAAGCCGAGGAAGAATACGTTGCGGCTGCTAGTTGTTGCTCTCAAATCACTTTACATCCAACCACATCCCAATCTACAGTGACTCCCAGAGCGCAATTGCCATAACCAGCAACCCCGTACATCACTCCCGCACAAAACACATCGACATGTGCTACCACTTCACCAAGGACCATGTGAGGAAAGGAGATATTGATCTGTATTTTGTAAGTTCTGAGCTTCAACCGGCTGACTTATTTACTAAGGCTCAGGATGAAAAACGATTCCAGTTTCCAGTATCTAAGTTAGACATGTTGAACTTCGAGCCCAATTAATTGTGTCTCAAACTGGTCTGAATAAAAGGCGTGTGTGCTGTGTGTGGTGTATGTGTTGAGTGGGAGTAATTTTGCAAAGAAATTTTTTCAAAAAAAAATTGGAGAAGGAAGAAAAATGATGAGTGTGTTTTTCCATTTTTTTTCATGCATCATCTGAGGGAGAGTTTTTTTTATCTAAAGAAAAGGAAATGTAAATAACAAAGTTCCTTTGGAGCCCAAACTCCTTTTAAATAAATCTGGGCCCGACAAAACCTTTGGGTCCGGACAATTTTTTTCACAAGGCCTAAATGATTTTTCGTGTATAAAAAGGATTTCGAGAAAATCTTTCGCGCATTTTCAAAATTCTCGAAGTCCAGAGAGTTTCTTGCATTTCATCACCAAATTTTCTTGAATTTCTCCTTCTCCAATTCTTCCTGTTAGAACATTATTTATTGTGTTCAAATTAATAGTAGTTATCTTTGATTAATTAGTCTTAGTATTAGCAGGCTTTTAATTGTTGAGAGAAACAGACTTTTTAGTTTAGTCCACACGCGCCCCACTAAAAATACAGGGAGATGGTTCGAACATCCTAAGTCTTTACACAATTTATTCCGCACCTATTATTCTCGTAGAGCATCTCTAGATTTCTCTCAACAATTCATACGTGTATCATGCTATATTGTTATATCATTATGAATATACAGTATTGAAAGTTGATGAATTATTCTTCTTCTACTCAATTTCTCCATATTATTGCATATTAGTTAATTGACTGTTGATCTGGGATTCTCCAATAATTGGCATCAGAGCCTCGGCATAATTCTGTTCGTTCGAACCTACAATTTTTTTGGAATTAATTTGATCAAAATCACAAGTTTTGGCTGAATTAGTTTTGGACTTGTTCTTGGAAAGTTACTATTTTTGGAAAGGTTGCTGCTGAAAAGAAGAGAAGATCACGGATCAGAACCCTAGGCGTACGAGTTTCATTATTTCTGCTCACCCGAAATATCACATCTCGGCACTTCTACTGAAGACTTCGTGCACCCGAGATCTTATCTCATTAGCTGCCCTGAGATCCGCTTTGCATTAGTGACCCGAGTTCCTGACTACGAAAGCAAGCCCAAAGTTCAAGATTTCGCAAGAACCGAGATCCAGGTCCAAAATTAGCAACTTCGATAGTAGGCTCGAGATCTCTCATCTGTTCGTTGACCCAAGATCTCTCATCTGTTCGTTGACCCGAGATCCAAATCTCGAATCATCATCCGAAACCAGCATCAGAAATCTTAATCAGCAGCACCGAATTCTTATTATGCCGGAACAGTTCTCGCCCGAAGATCACCAACAGTCAAACTTTTACAACGGAAGCTTATACAATGGGAAGTGACTCAAGACCTCCTATTCTAAGGAGAGGTGAATTTACTGTCTGGAAGCCAGATTTCTCAATTTTATCCGAAGCCAGGATAATGACAAAAATATTCTCAAATCTCTTAATGAAGGACCAATTGAATACTTTGTCGAAATTGCTGATGACACAATCAACTGAATATACTTGGTCGATATCAGTTGAATTGGTAAGTAATCTACACTCTTTAATCTCTAAGCAATGCACTAAAATTAATGAACAAATTTGTCTGGAATTAATTTGATCAAAATCACAAGTTTTGGTTGAATTAGTTTTGGACTTGTTCTTGGAAAGTTACTATTTTTGGAAAGATTGCTGCTGAAAATAAGAGAAGATCACGATCAGAACCCTAGGCCAAAGTTCAAGATTTCGAAAGAACCAAGATCCAAATACCATTTCCGGTGCTCGAGAAATTATTCGGGCTTACTAAAATAGACGACGAAAGAATACCAAGGGGACATTTCCCAGCAGTTCTATTAGAGATAAATCATAAATTATAATTATGTATTTAATACTCTTAAATGTAATATTTTTCGATAGTTAGTTACATAGACTTTCTCTCTTTATTATACTCCTATATATACTAGCTCAAGTATACTTCAAATGATAAGTGTGAATATACATTATTTGTTTTCCTAAATTTTACATGAAATCACTACTTGATTCAAACTACCTACTTTTTTAGAGCCTCTTTCATCTTTCGTAAGGCTTCTCTGCCGCTCTCCAATGATGCTGAAATCACATCTGATCAGATCTCCACTTATGTCCACATTCCGAACACCTCAAAACCTCATAAACCTCTCATCTCTATCAATCTTGGGAATGTTATCGAACTCTTTCCGACCAACTATATCTCTTGGCAATTACAAGTCCAATCTATTCTCACCGGTTACAGCCTTGGAGGTTTTCTGGATGGATCTCATTTGTGTCCTCCTGCCACACACACTACCAATGGTGTCACCACCCCAACCCAGCCTATGCATCCTGGATTCGCCAAAATTATCTTCTTTTTGGCGCCCTATTGATACTTTCAATCCTCTGTTGTTTCTCTTATCACCCGTGACAACACCACTAAAAATGCCTGGGATACCCTTTCTTCGGTTTAATCTCGTGCTGGACAGGTTCATTAGCCAGTAGATTAGCCAATCATACCCATTCCCTCTCAATGTGTCGATACACAGCTTTTCCTGCAAGGCCACAGCCTGGTCCTAATAATAATAAGTTAATAACAGTATGTAAGTAACAGGCATGGTATGATGTGAGGTGGCAGAATGCTGGAAAAGCAAACAAACAACGGACAGGATCATTAGTACACCAAATAGCATCCGGGACAGAACATGAGGCTGACACTTTAGTCTGCAGTCCACAATTCATGGATTGCATTGACTTTGGCCTCCACCAAGACTTAGATATCTGAATTCAACAACAAAAGTTAAAAAACATTCCGAATTCCAATAGTGGAGCAGCAAAAAAACACTCGACTTGGAAATATTATCTCGACAACTAACTGTGTCATAGGCTCTCATCTTAACCAAGCATTCCGCCATTCCCTTTAATTAGCTTCCACCATACAAATCACATGAATTTATATATCAGTGATAATAATCACAGTTGCCATATTATGGAAGATTCTAAATGATAATATTAAATATTCTGCAATAATTAAGATACATTATGAATAATACTAGAGTTGCACCCTCTGCAATATTAAAAATTCTAACATGAATTGACATATGAAATCGGAATTACATACACTAAATTTCTGCCTATATCTACAGAAATCAGCAATTCTTATCCCACCCTCTCTAGGGCCCAAAACGAAATTACACTAGCAAACAGAAACAAACATAAGCTGTTTCAGCAGTAAGTGACATAGAGTGGCTTTTGGTTTGGAATAGCACCTTACCTTTTTACTTTCCCATTTGTCTATTCCCCACATGCCGTCACTACTCTATACTTTGTGCTAACTGAGATGCGAACTGATATGAAACGGAGGGAGTATAATGTGTTTTTTCATCTTGAATTCCATTTGCAGTAGTAATTCTACAATCATGTATATAGAAACATTAGCCTCATTCTTCAGCTCACAGTGTCAAACACATTTTTACCTCACCAGTAGTCATTGCAAGAGCAGTAGCCCCCACGGAAGTGGTGGAAGCGAGTGCGGTCTCTAATAACTACCACCCTGTTGTACACCCCAGAAAGGGACTTGGCAAAATTGTGGCAGTCAACACAAATTCTGAGGTCTTTGGCAACTCTTATTGTAGTTCCAGGTGGAGTTGACAGTACGCCAAAAGCAATCGCCAACTTCTCGCTGTGAAAAGACGATCTAAACCTCTTTTCTTCCACCTCTGATGTTATTTCAGCCACATATCCACCAATTGTAAGTTGCTTATTGATCTCATCCAACTTCTCATAGATCTCACTTCTCATAGGATGTGAAACATCATCTGCAATAAATTCATGGATTTTCCCTTTCATCTCTATTGTACTGCAAGCTGGAGTTGTATAGATTCCCCTTTCTTTCATCAATTTCCGCAAGTAAACCACCTTATTATCCCAATCACCGCTAGAAGAACTATATGTATTCAACAACAACACATAATCTCCAGCTTCTTCGGCCTTCAGCTCAATCAAATGTTCGATAACTCTTTCACCTAGGGTGGGAGCGCGATGAATTTTACAAGCTGCTAATAGTGTCCTCCACATTGTTGCATCTGGTTTAATTCTCATGGATTTTACAAATTCATATGCCTCCTGGAGTAGACCTGCACGGCCCATGAGATCAACCATACACCCATAGTGATGAACATTAGGCATAATCCTAAATTGTGTACTCATTCTGTCGAAGAACATCCGTCCCTCGTTTAAAAGACCACAGTGACTACAAGCAGAAAGAACCCCAGTAAAAGTGTGACCATCTGGTGTAATGCCTGCTGCCTGCATCTCTTTAAAAGCATCAATGGCATCTCTGCCATAGCCATTGCTTGCCAAACCCGAAATCATTGCGCTCCAAGACACAACGTCTTTCCTGGGCATTTTACTGAACACCTCGTAGGCCTTATCAACACACCCACAACGTGAATACATTGTTATAAGCATATTACATATATTCAATGAATCTTCATAAGCATGTTCTAAGATGTATTTGTGAATTCTTTCCCCAAACTCCAACGCATTTATCTGTGCACACACCTGAAGTGCTAGCAGACAGGTGACATCATCTGGTTGGCACGCATTTGAATTCTGCATCATCATATCGAAAATGTGTAAAGCATTGTGAGGGCGGCGATTTTTCATGAAGCAGGCTATCAACATGTTCCAAGAAACAGTGTCCTTTACATACATTTCATCAAACACTTTGTAAGCGTCACTGTACTTCTTACAAGATGAGTATAAGTCCATCAAAGATGTGAGCAAATGACTGTCAGATTGATGTCCATCCCTAAGAACACGTGCGTGAATCTGCATTCCTCCATTAAAAGAACCAACCTTTACCGCACATTTGATTGCAAACGACAGTGACAAAGCGTCTGGAGATATGCCCAGGGGAAGCATTTCCCTATACAGCTCTAAGCCTAACGTGGGCAGGTTCCCAATCGCATAAGCCCTGATCATTATATTGTAAGATGACGCATTCCGTTGCGGGAATTCATCAAAGATCCTCCGAGCATAACCCAAATCTTGAAAGGGCGGAAGTGAGATGCGAGTTAAGAAAGCCGAGAAAACCCTGCGGTCACGACATAGAGAAGTGCGTATGGTTTGAGCATGGATTTGGAGGAGATGAAGTGTTTGAGTAGTCGATTTGACAAGAGAAATGAGGCTTTCATCATTTTGAGGGCTTCTTGATGAAGATGCGGAAGGAGATAGGTGGATATGGTGGTTTTGACGTTGCACTACTGCCAAGTAGCAACATAAAGAGTTGAATTTCGTAGGAAAAGAGATGCGAGGATGAATTGACCTCATGGCTAGCTATTGTTTGAATGTTTGTGGGAAGTTTTTTAAAGAGAGATTTCGTGGTATAGGATCAAAACATATACTCCCTCAAGTTCCTATTAAAGTTCTCAGTTTGACTTCACACAGATTAAGAAAATAAATTTGACTTTACTGTGGAGTGCACTGTTTGACATTGTTTGGACATTGTTTGGCACTGTTTGGCACTGTTTGACACTGTTTTGTTTCCTACAATAGAAGTGTGAACTTAAATAAGGGACATCCCAAAAATGAAAGTGAGAACTTTAATAGGAACCGGAGGGAGTATAAATTCCAAAAATAGGGGTGAGTTTATAAAATTCCCAAAATAGGAGTATTCTTTAAAGCTTGGACAAGACCACTCCTGCCGGAATTGCCACCGGAGTTGCTGCCAACCGCCGCCCGCCGAAATCCACCAATAATTTCCAAATCAGTCCTGACGCCTCCGTTACACCTACCGCCGTCGTCAGTTCGGCCACCACCGCCTCCGGTCGGCGGCGGCCGGCGGAGGCGGCCGGAATCTACCGCCACCCAAAAAAATTCCAGAATGTTTCTGCTGCCACTCTGATACAACTTCTGCCGGTGCCGGAGCTCCGCCGCCGCCACCGCCTGACATCGCCACCATTGGACTGCCCTCGTTACCAACGGCCTACACCGCCCACTGACGGACTGCCCTCGTTGCCCAAGGAAACTGGGAGGGAATAATTAATTAAAATAGGGGTATTAGGGGTAAAAATTAATGTTTATTCCGGAACATTAGGAGTTAACTCCAATTTAGAGAAATGTGTTATGTTTTACTCCTATTGAGAGCAATTGCTTTTTTTTAAACAATGGAATGTTTGGTATGACCATGACAGACATGAGTGTGGCACGTAGGAATGACAACATGCAGATTGGTGAGGGTTCTACATATAATCGTATCAGTCCCGTTGAGTAATTCCCTGCTCCGTAATCGTCTCATTATTCAAACCATAATCGCGGGCAACCGCGGGCAGGGGCTAGGTAGGGGAGGGCAAGCCCCGACCCAACCCGAATTTTAAAAATTTCTATATTTTTATTGTAAAAAATTCCATGTAATTTTTTTCCAAAAGTATTCTTTGTACCAGCCTAGTTGGGCCCAGTGCCCTGGCTCCGCTCCTGACCGCGGGTAATCGATTTATTAAATGAGTTATTGATATATTAATATAAAAATAACATTTTAAACGGTGAAAAATGACATCACCTAGACAACTCTAGACTCATATGAGTCATACGCCACTTTGAAGTTTCGTATATCTACTAGACGAGAAAGAAACCAACCTAAATTAATTTGAATCTAAAATTACTTAATTTGAAAAATAGTTAATCATGAAAAAAATCTAATAATAATCAAACAAGACTATCAAAAATTCATTCATACACTATAGTTAGTACATCTATTATCCATATATACAAAATGAAAATAAAAAAATCTCATCTTCTAGTAGTTGTGGAATAAATAATAGATAAAAATGAAATAAAAGTATAGCCAAAATAAATGGGACGGGTACGAGGAGGGTAATGGGACGGACATGTATAAAACCGTAACCACCCCATTACCCGTAAAAATGAAACGGGGATTCTCCACCCTGTATCCGTTACCCGGTCAATGTGGTTTTCCTCGTTTTGATCGGGACAGTTCAGTGCGGGTATCCATCGGATCGGTCACAATTGTCATCCCTAGTGGCACGAAGTACGTAGTACGAGTATATGTTTTCCATGTTTTATACTTGTCCCAAAATTCCTTTTGATTGTATCAACTCATTCCCATTTTTGAAAAGAAATCTATATTAAAAGCTCTCAATTTTTAGAAAATATACACTAATTATCTTATATTAAATGAAAAATCATGACAATTATTTTGATACGAAAGAGTATTTCATAAAAGGAACAAAAAGGAAAATATAATACGGAGTATATATATGGAATTACGGATTAAATGCATCTCAAAATTCGCATTATGTGTGTGTGTCTGTGTGTATCTGTATGTATTTATGTAAATTTTACGTACGTACATACCTAGGCATGCATGCATGCATGCTAATCGTAATGGGAAACATCTATTTATTGGTAGTTGTTATCTTTGTTGATTAACTGTTTATCATAATAATACTCATAATACAATGCATACTATATTTACTCTTACGTAATGTAATTTATAGATTTTTAGATTTTAAAAAAGTAGTATACTTAGATACACTATTCAAGACATTTTGAAAAATGGACACCATTCGAATGCTATAACGAAATCTCCTAAAATTATTGAATGAAGCTTTTTGAATATTTAAAAAAGGTTTTATTCGTTTTTAAACAGAGCCCATTCAAACTCATTCATGAAATTCTTAAAGTGGGCGATGAGTTAGGTAACCCGACTAGTAGAAAAGCTAGAGAGAAGTTTGAACAATCTTAAAATGTCAAAGTTGTATACTCCATATTGATTTTAATAGAATAGTAATACAAACAATTATTTGGATCCCTTTCATCAGGGACGGACCCAGGAAAGTCATTTTGGGGGGCGAAAATATTTTTGGGGGGTTCAAAGTACTTTTTGGAAGAGCAAAAATTATTTTTCGTATATATATACACTAAAAAAAATTGTTGGGGGCGGTAGCCCCCTGGTCTCTACTACGGTCCGCCCCTGCCTTTCATCCTTCGAAATGTGCTATTTATTTGGTCCAAAAGATGGAATCTCCCACCCTAGGAGCCCCCCATACTCCGACCCGACATGATTTTTGGGAGGATGTTAATCACGGTGACTCAGTCGGCCCAATGTTGGTAGGCCTTTTTCTCGTGCGCACCAGAGGCCCAGCCTTATTTCAGGTTCTGTGACCTCCACACGGCCGCTGCGGGTTTCGAACCTTGGTCACTTGATTCAAATTTCCCACCACTGAACCAACTGAGCTACCCGTGCGGGTGAAATGTGCTATTTATCTTACTATATACAAAGCTCCCTGGAAAACTTGGCCAAAACAGGTCTTAAATGGGTCAACCTGGTCAAAATAATCAAGCTATGGACATTGGAGAGTACTCCAGTTTTCCTTTACAGATTTGATTTATAAAGAGAAATGTTAACTTTCATCAATTAGTAGCTTGCTTCGATTACACTATGGTGGAGCTTGAATAATGAATTGACGGAGAGATGGATTTCCAGTGATGCAAGATCGGGACGGAACCTAGCATACCGCCAGCGTCATCTTCATCGCCGCCAGCGACGGCGTACTCATACTCTGTTGGAAGAAAGTAGTTGATGAGTATTATATTTGGGTGATTGTGTGTGAAAGAGAGAATTTTAGAGAGAGGTGATTTTAGAAGAACTTGGAACTTGTATTGATTTGGAGCTTTTGGCTTACATTACAAATGAGTGAGGAGTGCTCTATTTATAGGTCTCATAGGATCCTTCTAGGCACTCCTACTTCCTTAACCTTCTAGAATATTCTATAGGATTCTAGCTTAGGAATAATCTAGAATTGTTTAGGTACATTAACTACTCTAGATCTTTCTAAGTCTATCTTATGGGCTAGCTAATTTATTAATTATCATACAACTTCTAGCCCAATAAGTTAACATCTAATGGACCCAATTATTGGGCTAAGCCAAGTTTAATTTCTAGCATCCCCTCTTAAACTTGACTTAGCAACACCAAGTAGATTTCGCATCTTTGCAAAGACATCATGCTTGAGTGGCTTTGTGAGAATATCAGCGACTTGATCTTGAGTCTTCACATACTCTACTTGAACTTCCTTCTCCGCTATCTTTCCTCGAATGAAATGATATCGAGTGTCTATGTGCTTGCTTCGATCATGAAACACTGGATTCTTTGCTAATGCAATAGCTGACTTGTTGTCCACAAATATTGTTGTTGCTTCTTCTTGAGACATGCTGAGAGCTTGCAATATGTAGCGGAGCCAAATTGCATGACACACACTTGATGTTGCTGCAACGTACTCGGCTTCACAAGTGGATAGAGTGACGATCGGTTGCTTCTTTGAAACCCATGTGAAAGCGGTGTTTCCCATGTAGAATACGAACCCAGTTGTGCTCTTGCGGTCATCAATATCTCCACCCCAATCACTATCAGAATATCCAACCAGCTTAAACTCATCAGATGAAGAGTAAAACAACCCATATTCGGTGGTGCCTTTAAGATACCGCAAAATCCTTTTTGCAGCCTTCAAATGAGTTGTTGTGGGGGCCTCCATGAATCGACTAACAAGTCCAACACCAAAGAGAATATCTGGTCTTGTACATGTTAAGTATCTTAAGCTCCCCACAAGACTCTTAAAGTAAGTTGGATCAATCAATTTTCCTTTATCATACCTTGATAGCTTTAGTCCACTTTCAACAGGTGTACTTACAGGTTTAGAGTCTTCCATGTTGAACTTCTTGAGTACTTCTCTCGTGTATCCTTCTTGAGTGATGAATATACCATCATCCATTTGTTTCACCTCGATGCCAAGATAGTAACTCATAAGCCCAATGTCAGTCATCTCGAACTCCTTTGTCATGACTTGTTTAAATTCATCAAACATCGTCATGTTATTACCTGTAAAGATGAGGTCGTCCACATATATGCACACGAGCAGTATGTCTCCTTGATGATTTTTCTTGATATATAGAGCATGTTCTTGCGGACATTTCACGAATCCATTAGCTTGGAAGTATTGATCAATTCTACTATTCCAAGCTCTTGGTGCTTGTTTAAGCCCATAAAGAGCCTTATTTAGCCTCAACACTTTACCTTCTTGCCCTTTGACTTTGTAACCTTCGGGTTGCTCAATGTAGACTTCTTCTTCTAGGAACTCATTTAAGAATGCAGACTTGACATCCATTTGATGTATCTTCCACTTGTTGTGAGCCGCGAATGCAATTATCAATATTATTGTTTCTAATCTAGCCACGGGCGCAAATACTTCTTCATAATCAATGCCATGTCTCTGGGCGTAGCCTTTGGCCACTAGTCTTGCCTTGTACTTCTCAACTTCTCCTTTTGCATTTTTCTTGA